GTCTTCGTGGATGTCGACTTTTTTGTAGTCAAGGAAGAACGTGTCATCGATGACTTTTTCGCGAACTTGGTCATCAGTGTCAAGGAAGACGGCTGTCGATTCGTTCGCCATGAGTAGGGGAATAAGATCTGAGATTGGACTGGCGTTCAGGAGACTTCCGACAAGTGTCTAAACGAAATGGAACTTTACGGTTACAGCAGAATAGCTCAAACAGCTTACGGCCACGTTTCGAATTTGTTTTCCAGCAAACAAATTAAGCATGTAAATCAAACAGTGGAAAAATTTGCACTGGTATTCTAAAAATGCTTTAGATTTTATTATATATTATTATAACCAATAATTTATGCAGTAGACGCTGAATTTAGAATCGACCATATTTACGAACAGCCTGAACTGATGGCAGTACATAAGCTCAGAATAAGATAGCACATAAAGGTCTGACACGTCAAATCACTAAATCGTTGATTTAGTGTTTTACACTTGTGCAACTGAAAGTTGAAACATTGAGCAAAACAGGAACTGAAGTCCATGGACATCTAAATGTGAGTTTATAGACTACCAGTGAAATGACATGTGAGAAGCTTACAAAGCAAGAATAGACCTTAGAACCATTTTAGTTCGCCTCTCAAAAATCTGCAACTACGATATCTTAGCTATATTTGTACGCGAAAACAGCAATAACCTGGGCGTCTGTCCGTCAGCTGGTGAGCCTCAAATGAACTCAAAAATTAGACTTTTCACCTTAATTACAAAAGGCTAGAAATGTTAGGTTTAATAAACCCTCAATTGTGAATGACATGTTCATTCGAGCGGGACGCTAGTCCACAAAATACGGGCGATTTTGCAGCTGTGTTTACTGTTATACAGTCTTGTAATATTTCCAGTCGTAAAATAGTATTAAGCTCGTTTCTTCTAACTTCTAACCGCACTGCTTACGAAATATTCTCAAACTAAAATGATGCTATGGGTTATTAATGAACAGACGTTGAAACCAGTGCTGTAAGAAAACCCTTAGAACTGTGGTCAGGGATTGGCTCGGTCTGACACAACTGTCCAAAAAAACAAACACAAACAGGCAGTTTATTTGCACCGAGAATGGCCAATGTAGTTTGTCTAAAATATCGGCAGAGTAAGGACTGATTCCTTCTATTTATGTGTCTAAAACCATTGAAGTACCAAAAAAGAAAACACAGAACTGAAATGTACTCTAGAGATCATTTATAAAGCAAGATGATTAGTTACGATTAGACCAATTAAAATGACTATGAATTGTTTCGAAGATGAATCCTCAATTCAGATGAGCTACTTCAGAATATTAAATTATGCCGTTTCATTTCTCCCTCTGAAATCTAGCTTTCTTTGCTTAGCATTAACTTCAACTTACTTCCTTACCGATGTCTGTTTTTTTATTGTGAGTCGACAACTGTTTTTATTCGACACACTGACATTGAACGCCTACCCACATTTCTACCCTTAAGATTAATAAATGCAGTTTGTTTCTTAATTAACCGTCTGTCATGTCTTTGCACAGTAACACCGTTTATGGTCCATGAGTTAACCTTGCCGCATCTATCTGAGGTTTTTTGGGCCTTAACTGTGTTTCATCTAACTGCTACAAGAGAAGAGATCCGCAAGACGAACATTTGGCAAAGTCATATGATAAGTGAGCGAAAACAGATGTGTCGTCGGCTGATATCTGAAATGTAGTCTAGTATATGGACCCTGGCCGATTAACGCGTAGCCGGGACGACATGAGGAATATTCCAATAACTGTAACTACGCTATAAGAACGAATAATATATACAAAAATTTACAGATTAATGAATATCTGGCAATCCGAAGACTTGTTCACTCATCTGTGCGGTCTCTTCAACGGTGAATTATATTTTCCCGTGTCGTTGGAAAACTGGAAACTGTCACTGGAAAACATCTTACGCAAAGGAGGGCAAAGTTGCCTCGAAAAAAGTGGGTCACGTTACATCTATTAATGATATAGGCACCCTGAGCCAGCCAGTGATACTCGCCTGTGGACAAACAATGAATTCAAAACGGTGGAAAACTGTCATCCCGTTTGCAGTTTGACGATATCATGGATATCATGTCGAACCAGATTTTTCCTCTCATTTGAATCGAATCACTGTTAGTAAATGTTTCGTTCCTTCACCGTTGTTGATGTATGGACAGAGATGTCAATTTCTGTTTACCTATAAGCGATACTTATAAAAAATAAACTGAAAGAGAACTCCAAAAGTTCACAGAAAATTTCAGGAAGAGAAGATTATTACTGTTAGGCAGCTCATAATTTCTCCCAGATCAAATTTTACAGAGAAATGCACCACTTTCTTCCTCACACAGGCAACAACAAGCAAGAAGCAGGAAAATATTACGTGACGTCTGGGCTTAGAGGAGTCAAGCGTCATTTCACATATCCTGGTGTAGACCAAGTTTGATGCTAACGCGGAAGATGATCATTGTTTTAGCGAACACTGAAACATTGTGAAAACATTTATCGCCCTGTGCCTTCAAAGATTCTTTACGTTGCATAATGGAAAGACGTAACTCGCCTGGAACAAACCGCACTAAGTCCAATAGTTCTTCTTTCAACTGACTGAGGCTGACCGTCGCTCCTATGAACAGTCCCTTCTTGGCATGCAGTTCCAGGCGTTTCAATTCGGCGACGCCCAACGTAGAGATGAAAAAGGGAAAATGTGCGTTTCTGAACTTGATGTCGATTCCTTGAAACACGAACATCGAAAACATCAGGTGAAATGAAACGCTTCTCATTCGAACCAATCTCTGTATTTCCAGCGATGATCCGTGCCGTCGGATAACTTTTCTTCAGCTCTAACAAATGCTTAATCGACGTTGGTCTCAACCACAACATACCACTGTGATTTATGTACAGAAATTCGTTGTTCAGGACTCCGCTCTAAAATCTGATTCTGAAATCGCGAAAATCTTTTCAATCCGGTACCATTAAATCCGGCGGGAAAATCAAGCCCAGAGGAT